GTAAGAATTAGCCAAGGGCATTCGAGTGGAGTATAAAAGACTGGAGCAAGCGTTCTCAATGCTTAGATGGGCAAAGAGTGGAAACCCTGGAGATCGAGAAATAGCTATAGTGTCAGCGGAGATAAGTATTATTGGAAATACATTTTCAGTTTAGGAAAATGTTAACTTTGGGTTGAGTAGACTTGCTGCTCCAAGCACTTAAGGAATTTGTTTAAACGTATCTATAGCTTACTCAGAGAACCAGATAAATTACAGTAATTTTGGAACGTTCTATTACAGTGACTGATATATTTTTTGTGTTCTGAAATGCAAATTTGAAAGCTACATGAATTCTTTTTTGACGTCCAAATTGTGAGAAATGAGAGTGCAAAAATTGTCTGGTGTGTCTGTGAATACTAAATTCGTGTTTTTTATGTATATTTTAAACTTACTGTTATATGTATTTTAACAAAAGTAACTAAAATGTAAACATTTTCTTAGCTTGGGTAACAAAACTTCATTAAGAATAACGTTTAAAATTTTGGAATGAAGTATATGAGTACAGATTTGTTCCTTGTTTAATTATGAAGTAGGCATATATTTGTGATAATATTTCCTGATTAATTTTGGAATGAAACAGAGATTTGTAATAATTTATTTCTTGCTTGCTTGATTTTACTTATGGAGCATAGTGTTGTGATAACGTGATATTTGTTGTTTTATTTCTAATGACAATGTCTGTACAAGTGTATTTTTTGTATATAACATTATTTTGATTAAATGCAAAATTAAAACTTGCATCTCTAAGTTATTCTTTTTTTTCCCCACCTTAGGATGTTCTTAATGCCAAAAACTCAGCCATTAAGGATCTACAGTATGATCTTGCAAGAGCATGCAAGGTAATGTTTATTGCTTAAATAATTCCTCAAACATTTAATTTAATTAGATGAGAGTCTGGCCATTATCCTTGCAGCTGTTTACGTTGATTTTTAGACTGTTTAAATGACTATTCCACTGTGAAAGAAAATGGATAATCCAGTACTTTTCTTAAAGCAGATGTTAATTTCTCAGATGACATTGATGTGTTATAGATAAAACTTGATGTGAATATCAACAACACTACTCCATCAGTATTGGACTCATTGTCAGTAAGCACGGCTTCTACTTAACTGTTTAACTTTAACGTATTGCCTCGTATAAAACTTCACCATAATTTTGAGCTGTATGTCTCATTTAGATGCCTTGTTTGCAAGCAAAATTTCTGCTGTTCTCATTGTTGTAGATACACGGTGTGAAGTAATTGTAATCTAGCCAACAGTATTTCTGCTAGTCCAGGCATATGTCGAAAGGGCAACTTTTGTCCAGTTAGCCATAGCATTAATCACAGTTGCCTTTGACTCTTCATACAGCCCTGGGATGACATTGCAAGAAAAGGTACAACGTGAAGGAACTTGATATGCTGGTTGAACAACATTCATAAGGTTTCGGAATCCAGCATTTTCCGCTACAGAATAAGGTTGAAACTCAGTAGCGATGAAGTTTCTAACGGCCTTCGTAATCGGCAACGTTTGATTGCTCGCAGGATCGAGTTCTGGCGCTTTACGAAAATTTCCAGCTTGTTTTCAGGAGGAAGTCCAGAGTTCGATAAAGAATTGATCGTTTTTTTTTAACATCAAACCCAGATATCTTTGGAGATGAAAATCCAGATCCGTAGTTTGCGAAAACGAAAGCGTTACATCAGTCTTGCACTGCTTGCAAATTACATTTGTTTTATCGAGCCCTTTGTTGTTTGTAGAATCCAAAATACGCCCATACAGGTGGTTTTCCCGAAGGATTGTTAAAGATCGTTTTTTCTGAAGTTTCACTTCTTTCGCTGTTCATTTTCTGAGGCTTGGCGAGTAATAAAGACACAACTTAGAATCTCCTATATTTCGACTGGACACTATTTTAACTCTCACTACGGGCAGGTCAAACTGCGCATGTCACGACGGTTTAGTTAGTTATATTCAAAATTTAATTAAACTACTTAATTATCATGGTATACGAACAAACTTGAAATAAAAATATACTTAAAAACAACCTCAAACTCCCCTTGTGTGAGAACTGTGACATCTTGTTCTTTAGTCATCGCTTCTTCCATAATGTATTTAACACCCCTCTAAGAACTATACAATTTGACATAAAATGCTCTTTATAAATTTGTCGTAGGTTAAGCCAAGTAATATTTTCACATCGTTTAATCTTATGTGCCTAAAGAGCAATCAATTAGAAATTCAAATCCCTCCTGTCATGTAATCTGAGCCACAATTTGCTAATATATTTTTCTTATGTTGATTCCAACTAAATTTATAACCAATAGAAAGCCTAGATTTCGACTGATCGATTGCCATGTTCTTTTTACCACGTGGATATACAGGTAATTGACATTTTGGGTTCACGAAAAGAAAGTAAAGTTCTCATGAGAACGCGTCGAAGAGCTTAGCTGAATTTTTAACGGCTTTTTCACATACTTAGAGAGTCAGACAAAGTCTAACAGTTACAGAAAAATCTCAAATTTTCACGTTATTATTGTGTATTATTTCGTATATTGTTTAATTGAAGAAAAAATGATTTTGTTGACTAGTAGCATTGGTATAAAATATTAGGGCTAACATAGAACTAGAAGGACTGTCGGCGAAAAAAATTACACAGGTAAGTGCTATATTTATTATCTATTCTTTATTTATTATTATTATAAAAGTAACTAAAATGTAAAAGTAGAACATTTGGGCTAGATAAGGTTAAATTAGGTAAGATAAATAAAAATAATGATAATATAATTTTTATACTTGATACCGCTCGCTAGGAGTAGGATTAACATTTACAGCTCAAAATAATCATGATCGTTAGGTACCTTGATTGGTGTAATATTTGCATGATATCAGTTTTTTTTATGGCGGATGTTTTCAAAAACACGGTTCCAAGGGCAATAAAGTAATAAAATGAAATTAGAAACACGTGTATAATATTAAGAGCTTGAAGTTATTCATTGTAAGCAAATGTAGAAAGAAAAAAAGATAATTTTGTATTTTTCATGGTGGTTACGAGGCTGGTCAAACTGACCAACTTCACATTAAATTAGGGTAGTGACAATAGCAAATAAAATATGAAGATTTATCGGGAAAAAAGTTGGAAATTTATTTCGGACGTTTTAGAGATTACACAGAATAAATTTGTTAGTTTTTAAATGGTGAAAAGTATTTTTAATCTCAACATGAAAATCGCCTTACACTCGGAGCAGTGATTACTTTGACTATATATATTAAAACATTAATTTCTAGCAAAAATACTCTATTAGAAATTCTGATTTTTTCTGTACAAACGACTTGTAATGTTTACTGAAACTGTGAAAGCTTGGCAAATTTTGTGAAGATATATAAATCATATCCTATCATGGCTTCATGATATGATACTCGTATCATATTGCTGTATCACAACACCCCTAATAAATATAAAATGAATTAAATCAGAAAATTCCCAGGTTTTAACCAAATAATTTTCATACCTCACTTTCTTAGTTTTGCATTTTGAATATATATCTACATTCTCTCTTTATCTTATGTAATTTTACCAATTCTAGTAGTACCTAGATGACAATTCAAAATTTGTTCTACTTTTTATTTTCCATTACTTCATTAATTCTTCTTCTGAGCCTTCTATCCACCTCATTCCCATTTCATAACTTGGAAATTACTGCAACATTCCTTTTTGAAAAATAAGGTCTATGCTATCAGTGTGAGTTACCATAAATGCTAATGATGCCATTGAAGATTACTAGCGTTTAATCTTCCACCTCTTTAACAATTCACCCAAGAAAATTGGGCCAGGCATGGCTTAGTGGTTCATGTGCTTGGACTGTGAATTTGAGGATTCATGGTTTGTGACCCACTGCTGCAAAACTTTACAATTTGGGGTTGCAGGTGTACTATGAGAATGATGTTCAAATTCCCCTATTCAGTCAGACAAGAGATGGAGTTCAATACTGGTGAACAGCTTTCTTCCCTCTAGTCCATAAGTTAAAAATCAGGAATGGCCATGTACAGATGCTGTTATGTGGCTTTGCACAAAATTCAGAAACAAATCCCCCATTGAAGAAGAAGGCTTACCTCACGAGAGTATTTTATTTATGAGGTTCTCTAGTTGTGATATGTGTACTTTTAGGTATTAATTGATTCCCAAGTATAATGAGTTTATTGCATGATCTAGACCATGAAAACAGTGGTTAAACACATAACACAGATGTATACCTTATGATGTAGAGGTTACTTACTTCTAAATCAGAACCGTAACATCAAAATGTTTTACTTAGTGAGGAATGAAGGAACTAGTGGATTTGGTACTTGTATTTATAGATATACTCTATTACTGGAAATTATCGTGTGTTTTCTATTTAGTAGTATAACTGTTGATTTCCTTCAACACGTTCATGCTTATCATACTTTGTTATGTTAGGCACATAATGACTTGATCAGAACTTATGAAGCCAAACTTAAACAGTATGGAATACCCATAGAGAACTGTGGATTTGTGCCAATGAATCCAAAAGGACAACAACTTGGTAAAGGACTAGCACATCTTGTTTCAACACCTGATTCTGATGTTAAATAAAATCATGACTGTTAGTAAATTCCACTTTTTGTAAAAATATACCGAGTTATTTTAATATATTTTGTAACATGGATATTTCAAATTGTAATCTTATTTCTTTAATGAATTTAATAATGGAATAAAAATGTGATAACAATGTACCTCATTTGACATTACTGTTACATTAACAGAATAAAAAATCGAATACAAGCCCTTCCTCTTTTTCTTTGAGACTATTTATTAAATGAATAATCTGTAACCACTTTAAAAAAACTAACTTTTCATGCTCTTCCTTTATATTGAAAAAATTGAAAACTTCAAATTGTTTTATCCTGTATACACAGTAGAAATTAGTTTTCTATTCAGGTTTTGTATTTGTTACCATAGGCTAAAAACAACCATTCATATCCACTTTATAATTTTTAAACTACAAAACAAATTTATTTTCAACTTAAGTTTACTTACTTACAGATTAGAATAAACTGAATTAAAATTTGGGCAATTTAACAGTCAGATACTTCCTAATGGTTTCCGAGTTCACAGAAATATCAGCAAGCATCAAAATATTTATGTTTAACATTTCTACAGGATGTTGTAATCAGCTTGCAAGGCTATTTTCAACCTTAATTCATTTGCTGGATAATTGAGCTGAAGTTCCCTTACTGCAAGAGAAAAAATTCATGTGCCGTGGGTGTGTTCTAAGAGTGATGGTCAAATCCCACTATTTAGTCTGACAAGAAATGGCAGTGGGTGATGTTGACTAGCTATCTAGTCTATTATTTTAAAATGAGGGACGGATAGTGCATACATTTCTTTAATAAATTTACATGAAATCCAATAAACAAACAAATTCAATCCATTATTTAGAAATTTAACATTTTCCCCCACTTCTGTAGATGTTGTTATTTTCAGTCTCTTAATATCACCTTTCAATAGCTGTACTACACGTACACACATTGTACTGAAGTTGTGGATTCACATTCATCCCAAATAGCTACATTATCTGTCACAACACAAAATACTGACTCTGTAATAATGTTTCCATAGTAACCTGCAACGTACTTTGTTGACTGTTGGTGAATAAATTAAAAACTAGCTGTAGAGTGGTTCCAAAAGACTGAGAACTCCTTCATTATGAATATTACTCTATCCATCAGATACCACAGACACAAGGGGCTTTCTTCTTAGTACACTGATTTTTGCTGGACATCTGTTTTATTTGCTATTTTATTGAAAATTCATGTACACAGGAATTATTATACAAGCAGTAAAAATATTCCCTACATAATTAGCATGAACCAAACAGGCTACCAATCTGGCACCATTCTCTCAATGAATCCAGCGATGCCTACTTGATTATGGTACTTGCAGTGGGAAGTGATTAGATATATCCTTCTTTTTTAAATACATAATCCATTTCATCAGTATGCATACTTTGTTTGTTCTGGGATTACTAAGTTGCTGCTGTAGCAGTAAAAGTCCAGGTTGTTACAGCATACTGTGTCTGTTCTGGGGGTTAATAAGTTGCTGCTGTAGCAGTAAAAGTCCAGGTTCTAACAGCATACTCTGTCTGTTTTGGGGGTTAATAAGTTGCTGCTGTAGCAGTAAAAGTCCACGTTGTTACAGCATACTGTGTCTGTTCTGGGGGTTAATAAGTTGCTGCTGTAGCAGTAAAAGTCCAGGTTGTAACGGCATACTCTGTGTGTTGTGGTGTGAAATATGTTTAGTGTTGTCAAACTGCAGTGTACTTTCAATGAAGGTTAGGAGTGTTGAGATATCAAATATTCTCAGTGTGAAACACAAAGTAATTCACTGATCTTTATTTTCTTTAACTTTCAATCCATAAAGTTACAAAGTATGGTTCTTTAAGTCTAGAAATGTACTGCAGTAACAAAATTTGGCCAACACAAAATATTCCTGTCCTTATACCAGCATTTTTGTATTTATCTTGGTACAATCAATCAAATACATGCTATATAAATATACAAGCAGAGAAAAAAAAACAATATTTAATCTCAGTTTTATTCTCACCATCACCAGAAGTCTAACATAAGCTCTTTATGAAACATTTACTTCATATTAAATCAAGTTACACTGTTGTAGAACTTGAGATACAGAAGAATTTATCATAAGTTACATGACAATTATGGTAATTCCAAATGTGTCTTATATTAAAACTCTATAAATACCTACTCAGAATTCTCACCAATTTCCTAGGTTTTTGTAAATTCAAATATCTAAATTTAAAACTGGCTTTCTTGGGCTACAGTCTAGAAATACACGTCTTTAATGTTTAAAATTTTTTAATTCATTTTCAAATGTGTACGTTTTCATTTTTTAGATTTTTAAAGATGTTTTCCCAGGAAATGTATGTGTTATAACTATGTCTGATGCTTGTCTGTGTATTCCCAGATTCTATATGTTTACTACCCCCTAACTTCTGAATGTGTATTCTGATGTATTGCATGTTTTAACAATATTTGTGGTGCTTGTTTCTCTATTCTGACATACAGTCTAACAATATTTCTGCATGTTCTAATAACTAGCATAAAATGCCCACACGCCTCTGTTAGGTCCGAAGAACCAGTCAGGTTCCTTCATTATCTCCAGGAAGGGTCGACACCTGCAAACAAAACCCATTAGGACACCTACCCATGGTACCTTAGCACGTGTGCCATGTTTTATCCTCCTAGCTTGCAAGTGGGGGTATGAACACAAAATATAAGGCCAGACTTGGGTTCAGTAATCCTGAATATTTACTACTAGACTCCCCATCATGCAGTAGGTTAACTGCATGAAAACGAAACATCATAATTAAGTATAGATTATTCTTAACTAGTGTATGTCAAACCAGGAAGACAGAATTGAAATACAGCAGACGTGATGTGTGTATCAAACCAGGGAAGACAGAATTGAAATACAGCAGACGTGATGTGTGTATCAAACCAGGGAAGACAGAATTGAAATACAGCAGACATGATGTGTGTATCAAACCAGGGAAGACAGAATTGAAATACAGTAGACACAATTTGTGTATATCAAACCAAGGAAGATGTGAAATAAAGCAGATGTGATGTGTATATCAAACCAGGGAATATGGAAGTGAAATACAGCAGATATGATGTGTATATCAAACCAGGAAAGACATAAGCGAAATGCAGCAGCTGTGATGTGTATATCAAACCAGGGAATATGGAAGTGAAATACAGCAGATGTGATGTGTATATAAAACCAGGGAAGACATAAGTGAAATACAGCAGATGTGATGTGTATATAAAATCAGGGAAGACATAAGTGAAATACAGCAAACATGATGTTTATATAAAATCAGGGAAGACATAAGTGAAATACAGCAGACCTGATGTGTATATAAAATCAGGGAAGACATAAGTGAAGTGCAGCAGATGTGATGTGTATATCAAACCAGGGAATATGAAAGTGAATACAGCAGATGTGATGTGTATATAAAACCAGGGAAGACATAAGTGAAATACAGCAGATGTGATGTGTATATAAAATCAGGGAAGACATAAGTGAAATACAGCAAACGTGATGTTTATATAAAATCAGGGAAGACATAAGTGAAATACAGCAGACCTGATGTGTATATAAAACCAGGGAAGACATAAGTGATGTGTATATCAAACCAGGGAATATGGAAGTGAAATACAGCAGACGTGATGTGTATATCTAACCAGGGAAGACAGAAGTGAAACATGGCAGACGCGATGTGTATATCAAACCAGGGAAGACAGAAGTGAAACATGGCAGACCTGATGTGTATATAAAACCAAGGAAGACGTGAAATACACTAGACACAATGTGTATGTCAAACCAAGGAAGATGTGAAATACACCAAACATGATGTGTATATCAAATTGAGGAAGTGAAATAAAGTGTGTAAATATATTGAAAAATTCCAAGTTGTACAACAGGCTCAAGTTTTACAAATACCCTCCCCAGTCTTCCCTCTATATAGTGCCTCCTATTCATGGATTTTTGTAAGCCTACTCTCAATTAACACATTTTTAGTAACACCAGATATTTTCAAAAAGGCTGACAAGTTTCAAACTTTCACTTTTCAGATTAATGCTAGGAATGATTTTAACATCTTTTTTTCTATGTGCTATCAGCTGTGTGAAAATTTTAACGTTACAGTTTGAAACTACTTTTGTGTAATCATAGAAACAGAATAGTAAGCTAATTCTGGGATGTATCTAATCATTTCTTCTGATTCTTTATTTATTCTCTTGACATTTCTTTCCTCTGTAAGCTTTTTTACTTTTTTTTTTATCACTGTTGTTACATTATGTTAATACTATCCAGGCAAAAATCAGAGATAGCACACTTTCTCTTTGGGTTTAACTTGTAACTGTGAACAGTTTCAGAACTGCTACATACTTAATCTATAACCCATATCTCTCTACTTGAGTACTACTAAAAACATGGAAGTAAATGAAGTTGGTACACAAATAGAATTTCATTAAGTCTTATAGTTTTCTTGAATATTCAAAATGGATGTAAAATTATCCTTCTCATCTACCATTATACTATAAAAGCAATTATAAAACTTGTATACACCATCTTTTGCATCTTACTTCATACTGGATTAGGACTCACTACATTTTTGAACCAGGTTGTGTGGTATAAAAAAACTTCATCACCCTTTTTGAAAGCCTGATCAACCCAGTCCTAGCAGTTTTACAGTTTCTTCACCACTTTTCTTCTGGTTTCCTAATAACCATGTTGAATTATTATCATTATCTATAAATGCTAAACCTAAAATTTAAATTCAAGTGAAGTAAAAAAAAAAAAAAACGTACCATTCAGAACTTCTTTCTTATGTGAACCTACAAAATTAAACTGGTTAACTGTGTTTGTTACTTGGACATGCAAGTTGATTCAGGCATGTGAACCTACAATATTAAACTGGTTCACTGTGTCTGTTACTTGGACATAAAAGTTGATTGAGGCATATGAACCTACAATGTTAAACTGGTTAACTATGTATGTTACTTGGACATGTAAGACTATTCAGACATTTAAACTACTTGTTCACCATGTTTGTTATGTAGACATGTAAGTTGATTTAGGTATGTGAACCTACAATATTAAATTATCTGTTCATTGTGTTTGTTACTTGGACATGTATATATGGAGAAAGCTTTAAAAATGTAGTTTCAATTTTTATCTGAATGCTGTATTGAGACAGTTGATTGTGAAATGTCTAAACGACATTTGGCAGTTGTGCCGTGGCTACTACTTGCATATGAAATATTTAAGAGCTTTTTTTTTTGTTTAACTGTAGATATAATAGATGTAAATTTTCTGTTTGAAAGAGTAAAAAAATGAGAAGTGGCATAATGATAAACATACACGACTTTCTAGGAAAACTGACGAATGAGATCTTTCTAATACTTAATTCTCAAGTTAATCACTAACAAATATAAATAATTCTGACACATTTAAATATAACAGAGAAAAGTAACATCTAATTAAAGCATGTAAATCAGAAAGGAAACACAGGTACACCAATTAAAAACAGAGAAAAGTAACATCTAGTTAAAGTGTGGAAATCAGAAACACAATAACTAGCAGTTTTGATAAATTCCAGTCTGTGTTACTTGTCTTGGCTCATGTTGCAATAATCTACAGTTATTAGCTGTCAATAAGAAACTACCACAAGGTGAAAAGTTTTACACCACCAGATAAAGTAGAACAGCTTCAAAACTCTTTGGCAATGAAAGAGTACAAGCGCATGACAACAAACATTTTTACATCAGAACTTAAGATAGTTATATATTATACTTCCACATCTAAAATAGTATTTTATTAAAAGCAGTGGTTCCTTTCAAATATTATTAACTTAGACATCTTATTTCAGACTTATTCCTTTCAGTACTGTTGGGTTATATTTGTGAAGGACTGGTGGGACCCATATATCCATAAAAAAATATTTTTAACATGGCACTCCAATCCTTTTTGGTGTATCCTAGGTCATTTATATGTACTTGTATTGTTTCTGTTTTAAAATTGCAATAGAAGTACTGAAAGGGTTAAATACACAGTAACAACAGTTAAGTATTACATGTAATTAACATAAATAACTAAGTGTTACAACTAAAATCCTGGGACACAAAACAGTAACAATGGATGATTATTACATGTAATTAACAAAAATAACCCAGTGTTACAACAATAATCCTGGGACACAAAACAGTAACAATGGATGATTATTACATGTAATTAACAAAAATAACCCAGTGTTACAACAATAATCCTAGGATACAAGACAGTAACAATGGATGACTATTACATGTAATTAATCCATTGTTACAACAATAATCCTAGGTTACAAGACAGTAACATAGGCTGACTATTACATGTAATTAACCCAGTGTTACAACAATAATCCAAGGTCACAAGACAGTAACAATGGCTGACTATTACATGTAATTAATCCAGTGTTACAACAATAATCCTAGGTTACAAGACAGTAACAATGGATGACTATTACATGTAATTAACCAGTGTTACAACAATAATCCTAGGTTACAAGACAGTAACAATGGATGACTATTACATGTAATTAACCCAGTGTTACAACAATAATCCTAGGTTACAAGACAGTAACAATGGATGACTATTACATGTAATTAACCCAGTGTTACAACAATAATCCTAGGTCACAAGACAGTAACAGTGGGTGACTATTATATGTAATTAACCCAGTGTTACAACAATAATCCGAGGTCACAAGACAGTAACAGTGGATTGTCTTTAAACTTGTTGCTGCTCATTTGGGTCAACTGTTTCAGGCAAGGGAGCAAAGTTTAAAAGAAAGTTACCTGTGAATAGAATATATACAGATTTTAGACACATACATATAAATACAGAAAAGGAAGAATTAAAAATTATAATAACACTGATACTGTGTGTGTGTGTGGATATATATATGGTATGGAAATTGATTTCCCCAACACTGCTTATGATTTTAGAACACTTAAACTAATAGTTACATGTTAGAAATAACCATGTCATTGAATTCCCCAACACTGCTTATGATTTTAGAAGTTTCATGTTAGAAATGACCATGTCATTGACTTACCATATACTGTTCAAGATAGATATTTGGAAAGGAATTTTTTTTAAATCTTATTTCCAGTTTTAATAATCAGAATGTGTTTTAAGAGAAAAAAAAAATCTTTACTTTTATCTTAGTCATTAATACCATTAGAAATTATTCTTCAGTAAATCTTACCACTGCTTGACATCTCTTCCAAAGTGGCTCCTTTACATTGGTTGCCAGAGTGTCCTGTTGCACCACAGTTATAACAAGTCAGAGGCTTTGGTGGTAGCAAAGCACAACCCATGTCCCCATGAAGGTTAGGAGCACCATCTCCTGGAAAAACTAAAAAGCTTGGAACTGTGTCAGCAACAGGAAGACCTCCAGGAGCTGGAGATACATTAGGATCTGCAGCAGCAGGAGGTGATGCCATGGGAAAGTTCTGCATAGAGAACATGAGATCGGGCGAGGTTAGACCATTAGGGATCTGGAAGTGAAAGCCATGGCTCAGCATAGGAAAGATTGGTGGTGCTGTGTTGCTGTGAAAACTGATAGGCTGAGGAATTAACTGATGCACATAACAACTGTATGGAAGAACTGTGTTAGAACATGGAATAGCAGTTGTTACAGGTGTATGCATAACCCTACTACACTGAATACCAGGGGGCATCAGTCCTGGTGCTACTGGGTAGAGTATGTGAACATTTTCTTTTCTGTGTTTCAGAGATCTAATCTCTTCTGGGGTTCCAGTAGCTGTGGTTACAGTCACACAAGTGTTGTTTCCACGCAAGGACACAAGACTATGGCTGCCTGTTGGGATGGTTGAGCTTCCTGATGTGACCACTGGGTAAGGAAATCCACCAATATCAATGTTATGGTAAACAGGTGGAAGAGGTTTTAAAGAAGGCACAAGATTAGTATTCATATGGTTGCTTTCAAATGATACCCCTCCTCTAAAGTGTGGAGGAACAATGCTGGGTTGAGAACACACACTCACAGATACAGGTTTAGGGCCCGAGAGATCGTATGATGGAATACAAGAGGAATCTGCAAGGTTCGGAAGGGCACATTCTCCATCTTGAATGGTGGAGGAACCGACTGTAGAATCATCAGTTAAGTGTTGAATAGTAAGAGGAACATTGGTATCTTTCTTTGAGGCTAACCTAGTCTGGGGTTCTTCATTTTCTTTACTGAGGTGACTGTCTTCTTGAAGCATGCAACCTTTATAGCAACAAAAAAATCTAACTCTTCAAATATTACAATTGAAACTGTATTGAAATTTCAATAGCTCAGCCTTAAGTACATATACTATACCAAATATTATTGAAAAAGAAGTTGCCATAAACTCAACAGAAACCACTACTACACCAATTTTCTTAAAGATTAAATTACTGTAAGCTCAACTGAAACCACCACTTTACTAATTTGTTTAAAACAATAAGTTACTGTAAGCTCAACATAAACCACCACTGTACCAATATGGTTATAAAAGTTTTTTGTTGTTCTAGGGTTATGAAGCCTGACTATACTCAAAGTTTGTAACATGTCTAAGCAGATTACACAACAGTCTAATATCAAATAGACATTGTTAAATGAATTTTTGAAATAATGTAAACAAAGAAAGTTTAACTGTTTTCACATGTAAAACCAACGATTTTTAGAAATAAAAAACGGTTATTTACTGTATCATCTCAGTAATCAAAATTCATAAAAAGGGTCACCTGGAGTCACAGAGTAAAGCTTACTTAACTCTACACTTTGTGACTTTGGTGCAGAGTTAAGGGACAGGTTTCCACAACTAGAAGACACAGAGAGACAACAGGTAGGAACAGCTGGATTTGCTGATGTGGATATTCCTTGGATGTAATGGTTATTAAAACCATTTGTCATGTTGTACCTGAAAGCAATTAACTTGTGTCAAACATAGGTATTAATATACAAATTAATGTCAGCAAGAAATATCATTATTCAACAGGAACAATGATGCTTTCAATCAATAATTCAATGTTGTTTCTCTAGATTATGTAAATACCATTTGTATTTCTAGTGTCAAAGTTACTTGCTGCAGCAATGTCAAAAACTAGACTCAAGAATTCACTAGAACACACCAGAAGCTAAGTCAACCAGTCAAGTTGGAAAATTATGTTTAGTGGTGTTAGATTCCTTTAAAATGTGAAAATTATTTATAATAATGTCTTTAACTTGTTTGTTGTGTGTGTGTGTGTGTGTGGTATGTGAGGGTAAGGAGCGGTCTGGTGCAGGAGATCTTAGAGTTCGTTTTCGTGAGAAATGAAGAGGAGTTTTGGTCTTGATTTACAACATAGTTGCGTGTTTTTTTTCAGAATGTTTTTGGAGTAGTCACGATGATGAAAAATGATTCCAATTTTGTTGAGCGGACATTGAAATCATCAGGTTCACTACACAGTTTCCGTAGTCTAATGAACTGGGATTCTGGGATGTTCTTAAACAATTGAACAATTTTGCACCTTATATATTTATATATATAAATATTATGAGAGATTGAGACTTATTTTTTGGATGTTTCCTCTTTAATTTGCTATGTGTCTTAAATGTGTTCCAACCTAATTTCGGTTTTGATCACTCATCTCTTTCCACAATAATGGCATGGAATAGTCATGTTCTAGACTCCGAACGATAGAATTCATCAAGAAGCACGGCCTGTAAGTGTTTACAGTTGTCGGCCTATGGTTATAACAATGGTATTGTTACCCAAGTTCATCATAATAATGTTCAAGGTGGTCAAAGAAAATGACCGAATTTACTTCATGCTTTTGGTATCAATTTCAGACAAGATGAAAGAGCTTTTGTCCATCAGTATGGAAATGGAGCAGTTTACGGTGGTACAATCAATAACAACGTTCAGATAAACAGTGGATATTATCCTCCGTACTAAATGAATCAAAGTACCCAGTTTTTGTCACAACAATGTTGTACACACCATTGCATCTCTTTCAATTACTTGCATTGTCAGCTAACAGAAGTATAGTCATGTGTTTCATGCGTTTTGTCCAGGTGAAGGCCAGTCAAAAAACAACAACAATATTTTAGAATGAAAGTCTTGATAGACAGGCATCTATTTTCAGACTCTCATTAAATTTGAAGAGGTTTTTGTTGTTCCCAATCGTTTTCCATATGAATAAATAAAGTTTTTTAAAACATAACTGAAGCTGATAAAAAAAATTGAGCAGTTAATGTACTTCTAAAACACAAACAAAATATATGTATGTGCTGCTGGGTATGTCCTATTTACTTTTTTTTTTACTTTGCTTTGCATATTGAACAATTTTAACATCAACGGTTACACAAACATATATTCTCTTGAGTGCTTACTCTTTAGGCCTTCTTCCTGAAAAACTTGCATGGCGCTAGGTTATACAGAATTTTCAATATTTACTAAATCATTTTGTTTTATTGTCATTATATTCTTGTAATGGTTTCCCTTGAAAGGGTATTCTAGTTGTTGTCTTTATGTCGATTATTGTTTATTATTATTATTATGTTATGATCATTATTGTGAGCAATTTTCAAATTCCCTGATATCTAAAATAAGCACATTTTATCAACTTGAGTACAGATTACCTATCACTGTATTTGTTAATTTTTTTATAGAACATTTATTTGATGTGAAAGATAAACAACATCTTTATCTCCTTTACTCATTACTTGGAGTCTGATTTTTCGGTCCTTGCCCTCTAATCCTTCCTATACTGTGTCAGAGTTACATTCACACCGCATTTTCTCATGTCCTTTTTCACTACATCCATCCACCTTTCCTTCGGTTTTCCTATTGTCCCCTTTCCTTCAACTATCATTTTTATTACTCTCCTACCAACATTACTTTCTTCTCTTCTTTCCACATGACTAAACCATCTAAGGCAAATTTCTCTCACTTTTTCCATAATTGGTGCTACTTTCACCCGCTCCCTAATGGTTTCGTTCTTGATGCAGCCTTTCTATGACACTCTTATCATCCACCTCAACATTAGAATCTCCGCCACCTTTATCATATGTTCCTTATTCTTTCTTAAACTTCAGTAGTCAGCCCCATACAATATGACTGGTCTTATAAATCTTCCCTTTCGCTTCTATTGGTATCTGTCTATCACAAACCACTCCACTTCCTCCATACTTTGTTTATTTTTTCCTTAACCTCTTTAACCACCCCTCTGTCTATCTACACAATTGATACAAGATATTTACATGTTTTCACCTTCTTTAACTCTGAATTTTGCTATCATCTACTCATTGTCATACTTATTTTCAAACCATATCAGTTTAGATCTTCTCACCACCCCTTCAGTTCCACTGAAAGATAAACAAAACAAAAAAATTATAAAAACAGGAGGTAATATTTTCACTTGTAAAATAAGTAGGAGAAAATTAATGTATTTTAATCAACGTTGGTGATTAGTGCGACTAGCTTAAAGGAAAGAGTATGGGGTGGTATTTTCGTTATATTTCTTCAACCTTATACGCTTTTTGTTCCATTAAATATATTAGTTTTATATATCTCTTCCCCTACTTTGCAGAAGACGCACGACAATCCGTTGAAAGCATTTCGAAATTGATAAAATATTAGTATACATCTCTCAAAATTTCGAAAGAATAAATGGTTCTTGGAAATGTCGAGTGTAGTGTAACAATTTTTAGTAAAAGCTCATATACAAGTAAACTCCTGTGTTCCTACGACACTCCAAACCATCGTAAAGCTTAGCGACCTCACGTTTGGTGTTGTTACCTCGATACGAAGCCTTTAATTATCAACCTATGAAATATCTTCATTTGCAGCTGGTCAGTAGAGCAGAGTTGGCGAGAGTGATGTGTTTCCAACATTTACTTCAGTTTATGAAGAAACAACGTTCTTTAAAAGTTAACCATAAACAGTATGGATCGTTGATTGTCAACCAAAAACTAAAGGCTAATATATTTCAAAATAAGAATCCAAGTAAAAGGCTTAGTAAAGGTCAGTGATATTCGTTACAAAAGTAATTTAAGAAATAATTTAATAATAATTAGAAAACCATGTACATGTTCAATATATATATATATATTATGTATATAATATTGTTTGTGAATATGCAAATCCCGTTATTTATAACATAGATTATGGTTACATGGTTTAAAAGTCGATAACACTTAAGCGTTGCTCTATTTATTCAGGTTTGTGTACATATGGATTTGTCTATACGTAATGCAAATTCAAAGTGAAAACTAAGTAACAGCTGATTCTAGAAGGCGTTTTTATCTAAATATCCAAAGCTTTAGCGAGTGCAAGTTAGGACTAGTCTGCGCTTGTTGATGAGTTATTACAATCATGTAGTACATCCATAAGTGCTTTTCTTCAGAAAAGATAGCTAATACATTTAGTTTAGGTAGCAGAACTGTTTTTGCTCTTATGATTAAGATAATTGTACTAAAGATAATTACTGGCAATGCATAGATACCTATCGAATTCTATCTTAACTCAATATTTAAAATTTTCCTGTAAAGATGCGCTTAACATTTTCACTCTGCCTTGAATTGTATTCTTAATTTAATATGTATTCATTTCACAGGGAAACGATTCATCATCACACAATCTACTTGCTATGTCCAACCAATACAAAGATAGTGAATCTCATTCAGATTGTACTATAACCACTATAGATACTCTACCATCGGGTTTATATAGTGAAGAAGAGTCTCCGTCTGTTGTAGAAGTTGATGTACGTTTAGCTAACAATGAACACGTAAATGAGGTAAGTGACAATGACAAAACGAAACTCCAAGCAATTTTTTAAACACACATAGTGATTATAATGAATACCCCATATTTAAAGTTATTGTGCCTTAATTAAAAAAGACTTGTCTCCAATTAACGTACGTACTACGTCGGAATGTTGATTTTTCTTATTTATTACAACACTGTGTTTGACTTTCTTAGCCTAAAGCAACGTTTTATAATCATACATTAATCATTTTTTTTTGTGATTTATCCTCTAATATGTTTATCAGACCACATGGACTGATTAGATATATATATATATATCTTCATTGTCTTTTGGGCTACAAAGCTCATCAATGTACTCTTCTGGTTTCAATTCATTTTCCTAAGCAGTTTCTCACCAACAAGAGACTTTAAAAGATTACATATTTAATCTTGGTTGCTTTCTGATATTAGATACTGATTATAGAAAACTCATTAACAATTACCAACAAAAAGAAAAGTTTCTTGGTGTTTAAAACTCCTCTTTAGGCTCCCAGCATCCATCAAAATAGGATGTATCTCTTGTTTAACCACATCTACTTTTCAAACATTAATGATTTAGTCTATCATACTAGCTATCCTGTTTCAGATTTTTATAGCCTACTGTCCTGACTATCCTATTTCAAATTTTTTATAGTCTACCGCCCTAACTATCATGTTTCAGATTTTTATAGTATAATGCCCTAACTATCCTACTTCAGATTTTTGTAGTCTAATGCTCTAACTATTTTGTTTCACATTTTTATAGTCTAACGCTTTAACTAATGTGTTTCACATTTTTCAAAATACCTTTTCAAATCAACAACTAAAAAGCTTTTGTAAATAAAGTAAAAACAAAAGACTTGTTAAAGTAATTTTCATGTATTAAAATTTAGATTTGCTTTCACGTTAATATGCTAATACGTCAGTCCACTTTTTCAGACTCTCCGTTCTGGATTGCGTTTAATGGGAACCTCTAATCGTTCTCCTAGTCCAACAACTGTCGTAAGAGCTAATATCTATCATCATGACGAAAGTACGTTTGCGACAGCTGATTATCCTATACTAGCCAGTATTGAGGCTGGACATCAACTGTTAGAGAGATGAAATGTGTTGAATTTCAAATACATATTATACCTTATGACTGTAGAACACATTCTGAAAC